TTACATTTTCTCTCTCTTCATTGAGGTGCTGAGTTCCTCTATTGCACGATCAGGTTCGTTGAGCTTTCTTATGACCATTTCTTTGAATTATTTATCAGGCAAATTACTTGCATCCATTTCATTGGGGCTTTTTTCTGGAGATTTTTCTTATGCCTTCATTTGGGGCAAATTCATTTTGTTGGACTTACTGTGTTTGTTCCTATGAGTTGGGCAGAATAACTATCCCTCCCAGTCTTGAAAGAGTGGTCTCTGTGTAGACCAGGGGGTGAATAGTTTCGGCAGTCCAGCTGTATTCAGAGCAGGCATGTGAGGTGCCTTGTGTGTCTCCTGGCCTGAGTAATAGGTTCCAAGTGGAGCCAGTCTGCTGTGTATGCTGCTTTGCCCTTCTAACCTGGGCTCCCTGATGTAGATGGGACTGCTAGGTACATTCTTGGTGTGCCCTATTGCTTTAACTATCTGTGATCAGAACAGGGTCAGGGCCTGCCTGGGGTTGCTTTTCATGCTTGTCTTTTTAAAAAAAATTTTTTTATTAAGTTATTACATATGTGTCCTTATCCCCACGTTGCCCCCTCTCCCCCCACTTATGCCCTTACCCTCCCCCCCGTTGTCCATGTCCATTGGTTAGGCCTATATGCTTACATATAAGTCCTTGGTTCATGCTTGTGTCTTAATGCCCTACCAGTTCTGCCGCGTCTCTGGATGGGGCAGGTGTGTGTGTATGCACAGCTACACTTTGCTTGTTCTGCTCCCTCTCAAAGCAGCACAGCTCCTCTCTGCTCAGCTGCATCCTCCAACTCTGCACAGGCAGCCCTGTGCATGCCCTACTGCTTTTTGTCCACCCTTAGAGCAGGGTGTGGGCGGGACTACTCTGCATGCCTGTTTCTCAATGACCTACTGACTCTGCTTTTTCTCCAGGTGGGGCAGACTTTCATGCATACAGCAGCACCCTACTCACTCTGCCTGGGGCAGCCCTGTGTATGCAAAGTTTTGCCAGGTCGCTGTGGACAGGGGGAGTCCCTTGTGTGTGCAGCCCAGTGGGTGTAAGAAGCAGCACCCCACTGTACCCACTGGATCAATTTCCTGGTGGCGGAGCCAACTTTGTATGCATACTATGGTGCCTTCCTCTTTCTGCTGTATCTAGCTCCAGGAGGGGTAGCTGGGGCCTGCAGGTCAGCCAGAGAACCTGGGTGGAGCTCCCGCCCACTGTCCCTGTTCAGGGTACACATAAACAATGGCGCTCACTGTTCCTCTGGTCCTGTGTTGTTTTCTTAGCTCCCAGAGAGCTGTCATGGTACCCCAATCTTCTCGATGTGGTCCGTTTCTCTTGCTTGTGTAGAAGCTGTTCAGTTGGTTCACTGTTGTCTCTCAAGAGGAACTATTCTAAACACAGATGTACATTTTGATGTGTTCTTGGAAAGAGGCAAGCTCAGCGTCCACCTACACCACCATCCTGGGCCTGCCTCTCCGACTTGAAAGCTTTTTATTTGCATTTTATCTACTGATTCTCAGGACAAGCAATACTCAAATTGGGGCACTCCCACTATTTCATCATTCAGATTTTGGTTTGTTTGATGATTATTCTTATTTCTCTTAGAGAACCTTTTACTATTAGTTGGTTTATAACCTGTGAATATTATCTATTGAATCAACTGCTTAAGAGAGGAAATTGGCATGCTTACACAACCCTGTACACCTTTTCTCCCCCTAATTTGGTAAAACTGCTTTATTTCTACACTGGCATGGTGTATAATGTGTGTTCCATTTTATAACCATAATTCTCCCACAAAGGGAGGCTTGGTTATATTTTTCTGACATTTATACAGCACAGCTAAAAGAGAATATTATAAGGAACACTTGTATAACCATTACCTAGGTCTCATCATTAACCTTTTACTATACTTTATCACCTTTCTCCACCCATCAAACTATCATATGTGTGTGTGTATTTCAAAGTAAGATGAAGACATCTGTACAGTTCCCCCTGAATATGTCAGCATGCATCTCATTAACTGCTCAATATTTACTTACTTTGTTCTTTTTCTGGTATAAAATTGATACACACAATGAAATGCACAGTTTTCTTAAAAACAAAACAAAACACGTTCAATTCTCACCACCCTTTTACTGAATTTTTCTGTTGATATCTTGGCTGGTAAATGTGTCTTCTTTGTTCTCTTCAATATGAACTCCTGGGACATATAATCCCTGAACTGTGCATGTTTGAATGCATCCGCCCTTTAATTTTATGCCTGAGTGACAGTGAGTGGGTTTAAAACTCCTGAGTCCTAGTCTTCTCCCTGGAGGATTTTGGGGACATTGTTCTCCTGGAACACTGCTGTCGAGAAGTTTTCTGACCTATTTACCCTTTACACAGGTGATGGGATTTGGTAGTTAGTTTGTTTGATGATTTTTGCCTGGATCCCCACAGACTCCTTGCAGTCTAGCTTAGTGCTTCCCCAACTTTAACGAAGGTGTGAACCACGTGTGGGTCTTATTAAAATGCAGATCCTGGGTCAGGAGGGCTGGAGTAGGGCCTGAGATCCTGACTCTCCCGAGCTGCTCTGTGGACAGTGGGGAAGAAGGCAGTTTCTGCTCACAGACTGTTAGAATGTACTGGAATCTGCGTGCTCCATGGTGTCTGGGGAGGCTGCCAGGCAGCCCGTGCCCTCACGAACATGGTTCCAAGCAAAGCGGGGCTGCTGCACTCAGCATGTGCCTCCGGATTTGGAGAAGTGGGCTCTGTCCCCTCTGCCTCCAGCTCCGTGTACCTCCCCTCGCTACCCAGGTCTCGTGGTTACAAGCAGCCCTTCACGTATACTGGGAATTGGGACTGAAAGGTGTTTGCCAGTTTCACCAAAAACAGGGTTTGTTTCTAGTTGTGTCACAGAGGAAAGGGAACTAGAGACTTCTTTTCAAGTAAGAGCAGTATGTTGGCTTAGGGAGAGTACAGGAGGCTTGGACAGCTGGGAGAACACAGGGTTTGAGGTCAGACATTCCTAGGTTTGGATCCAGCTGCAGTCTTATAGGTGCGTGACCTTGAGCAAGTTCATTAACATCTCTAGGCCCCAAAGTGTTCCTATTTAAAAAGCGGAGGTGATAAAACCTCTCTCACTGGGTTGCTATGAGGATTAAAGGGGAAAGAGTTTAAGGCACCTCACACAATAAATGATGTTTTCCTTCCTTCCCTAGCTCCAGCTGGCTTAGAAGCTTAAGCGCATCCCTAATGACAATGGGCAAAGTTTATTTTTGAGTTCAGAAGGCCCCCAATGCCTTCTGCACAAAGGGGTTGTTCACTGTATTTCATTTTCTCCATGAATATGGATGTGCCAGGCATTGTCAGAAGCTGGGGAGTCACAGTTTCCATCCTCCTTGAAGTTGTATTCTTTGTTTTTTAAATCTCCAAGCTAAGCCATAGCATTTTCTAGATGACTCGACACTGTGGTGGCAGGTAAGAAGGGTGCATCAGCTCTGACCTCCCCTAGGCACTGGGAGGGGCTGTCCTGTCCCTTAGCCTTCCTGGGGACATGAGTAACAGCAGGGGGAGTCCACATGCAGGGTGGACATTTACCATAAAAAGGAATTGGTCCTAAGCCTTATTTATTTTAAAAGCGGCAGATTACAAAGTTAAGAACTGTACCTAAATTGCTGGGTTTAATGTAGTGGGCAAGTTAACCAAGAAGGGTTGAGCAACATCAGGCCTCTGGGACTTACAAATGAGCATCTGTTATCCTTACTAAAGTAAATTAGGAAGCGGGATATTTCTAAAGTACTAAAAAGCAGGCAGTTTAAACATTTCTCAGATTCTTGTTTAATCTACTCATTTGCTTAGGAATTTGTTTCCTTGACGATAATAAGATGGGCAGCCTCAGTCTAGCTCAGTTTTCTCAAGTGCCATCCTGGGATCCATCTGAGGAGCTGGCTAAACACGCAGATTCCTAGGGCCCAACCTGGACCAGCTGAATCCACACCTAGGAATGGGCTCAGGGACCTGCATGTTCTAACCAGAGTCCCCAGCATGCCTGGAAAGTGCCCAGTGATGGAAATGATCAGACTTATCACCTAAGAAATGTAAGGAATATCCAATATGTTCTATGTTTGGGAGGGGGTGGGGGGAGACCCCCAGGAAACAGGACCAAAAGTTTCCAAAAAACATTGAGAAAAGAATGCTTAGAAAACAGGGAAACAGTGACCTCATGAGGAATCCAGAAGGATCTATATGATCTAATGTCTCAAATACTAAGAAAGGGGAAGAAGAGAATTCAAGGGAGGGTCTGTTTAGCAACATTCCACATAAAATCCGGCAGGAAAGTGAATTAGAGAAACTATACAGGAAGCGGCACCAAGCTCATCTGCCCCAAATCTCCTCCTGCCTGGGAGAGTCTGGCCTGGACCTGTGGGACTCAGTCTCCTGATTCCCAACAGCTGGTCACATGACCCATCTTGGTCCCAGGCAAATATAAAATGCCCCTTCTCAAAGTATAAGGGGTTTTGTGTTTTGTTCAGCATGGAAGAAAGTTACAACTGGGGGGGGGGGTGGGGAGGGGGACCATCCTGTGGAAGAGGCAAGTGAAGCCCTGAAGTTTCAGCAATTTGCCCAGCTGACTCGGAAGAGGCAGACCTATGACGGTAATTCATTCCACTGCTGAGGCCTGCTCCTTCCCGGCCAGGGAGCGGGTGCGAAGCCCAACCAGATGCTAGCCCCTGGCTGAGGACAGGCATCAGCTTCCAACCTTCCCAAATGAAATCAAACCACAGTGCCAGGTGGAAAATCAACTCGCAGTCCAACTTCGTCACCTTCCCCGTGCCTGTGCTGGATGAGGGCCTGGGCGTGTGCCAGCCCACGGGAACTACTATGAGATCAGCTGCCTAAGCCCCCTAATCGGTTTTGCAGCGACTTCAGAAAAACCAGGAAAAATGTGTTTTCATTCTTTTTAATCCAGCAGCACAGACCACAGGACAATGCTAGCCCAAACCGAACCCCTTAATGAGAAGCCGCTTACCTGACTTGATTCCTTTAATGGGGTAAGTAGCATGCGCGAGAAAGTTGGGGTCGCTGAACATATCTTCCTCGTACACCACAAAGCGCAGAAATGCCAGGTTTGGGTCATAGATTTCAAATGTCACCTTCTCCTGCGTTGAAGCCCAAACAGGGCTTAGGCCATTGTCATCTGGAAGGTGATCAAAGCTTATTAAAGACGCCATTTGGGAAACTAGCTTTATATTCATCAGCTGGGCTTTGAATCTCCTTAGCAACTGTGTAAATATGCAGCTAAGAAAATAGGAATAATCTTTTTTCCAGTAGCAATTGTGGTAAAGCGGTTGTCACAGGCCTGAGTAAGGTGGGGGGAGACCCCTTTATACAGCTCCCATCTCAACTCCCCAGGTTGCGGAAGGGAACGGAGGCCGCAGCAGAGAAGGAACAGGTGGGCACGGAAGAGCTGAGAGGGAGAGGGGGTGGGTCAGGCTGACTGAAGAGGTAGAGCCAGCGTGGGTCCGTGGTTGTCGGGGGAGAACCTGCCACCCTCCACAAACGCGTTTCACTTGGTTGCGTGTGAGCTGCCACTGAGCCACCTTTCACCAGGAGCAGTGACCTCAGGCCCAGTTCCCGGTGTCTTCCTGGCTTACAGTGGAAGCACAAGCATTTCCTAGGCCTCCCTGCCCTCTGTGGGTCAGGTATCACATCCTCTGTGTCTCTGCTCCTGTCCTGGGCTAAGGAGATGAAGCGGGTGGGGCTGTGGCACAGAGCAAGGGCCCTGCCGCCTGAGTTACAGGCAGAGCATCGCAGCACGGGGCACAATCCGACTATTTAATCACGTGGTCCTCTGTTTCCCCTCCCTAAGCTGAACCACAGTGAGCAAAAGGGACGAAGAAAAAGACACGGCCAAGCAAAGTGCCTTACAAACCCCCCAACATGTGACTCAACTCGCTTTATGTTTAAGAGAAGGATGTTCCCGGGCGACTTACTCACAACCGTCGTCTTAAACTTGTTGTTGTCATATTCGGCTCCACATATTTCCACCTCCACAAAGGGACATGCAATACTTCGTCCGAGCTTGGGGAGATGGCGAGCCCCGAGAACCTAGGATACCACAGGTGAGTACGGGAATTCTCCCAGACCCGTCCTGGGAAGAGCTAACGAGGCTGCGTGGGTGGGCTGGCAGGGAGCTCGGTGGGTTCTAGCGTCAGACCACATGAGTTCAAACCAGCCTCCATTTCTTCACTGGAGAAGTCCTGACAACCTTGTCAAGTGGATCCCACCACTGTTTCCTTCTCGTGGATGAGAAGATGGGGGTGGATTCCTACAGCTGTTAGGACAGGGGTGGGGAACCTTTTCTCTGCCAAGGCCCATTTGGATATTTATAACATCATTCGAGAGCCTTACAAAATTATCAACTTAAAAATTAGCCTGCTTATTTGATCAAACATTTCATTAACTACCCCCTAATGCCTTGGCAGGGCCAGACGTTCCCCACCCCTGTGTTAAGGTGAGCTGGGAGCAGAACGCCCAGGCCATCAGAATCAACAGGAGGACCTCACCCAGGGGTCCTCAAACTACGGCCTGCGGGCCACATGCAAATACAAATATTGTATTTGTTTCTGTTTTGTTTTTTTACTTCAAAATAAGATATGTGCAGTGTACATAGGAATTTGTTCATAGTTTTTTTTTAAACTATAGTCCAGCCCTCCAACGGTCTGAGGGACAGTGAACTGGCCCCCTGTTTAAAAAGTTTGAGGATCCCTGACCTCACCTGAGCACAGAACACATCCACCCGTGCCCAGGTGCGCACCCACAGAAAGAGCGTCAAATCACTTGATTCCCAGCTCCCAGGAAAGGATAGGGGAGTGTGTGTGGTTTTCTTTTAAAGACCTTTGGTTGCAAAAGCTTCATTTTTTCCTCTCCTTAATCTTATGAGAAATGCAACTTTTTTTCTACCTGCATAGTTTCCAAAGGAGGGAAAAACAAAAATTCTCACAGAGAGACAACACATTCTCTGAAAGTTGAGTCTCTTGAATTTTAAAAAGCTTTCACCCTTAAATATGGCCATTATGGGGACAAACATTCCCCTCCGTAAAGACCAAAGGTCCGTTTTCCCACATGTTCTCTTTCCTGGCCAGAATCTGTCCTCGCTGGGACCCAGGAGATGCCCTCCTGAACCCTGCAAGAGCTGGATTCATACCTAGGCCCGCAGGTGACATGGGTAAGGTGTCCAAGATGGATTTGAGAGGGTCTCCCTTCCTCCCCGGGGGTGCGCTGTAATTCAGATCCTCAAACCATGTCTGGGTGGTGATGGTTTAAACCAAATGACAGGCGTCTCTAGACCCTGGTTCCCTGGGCGAGGAAGGAGAGTGTGGCCTTACCTTGACCGTCAAGGTCATCAGAATCTTCCTCTGGGACTCGGGCGGCATGGGGTCATACTTCTCCGTCCTCATGCTCTCGGGTTGCAGGACGTAGCCGGTCCTCCCGTTGAGTGAAAACAAGGCCTGGTTCATCTGCATGTATTTGTCTGCGAAGGAAAGGGTACTGCTGATGGAAGTCGGGCAGGAAAAGGCTGGCCTCCTAGGCCCGGACGTGCCAGGTGGGGAATGATTTGCTCATTTTAAGCTGGTTGTTTAGATATCTAAACTCAAAATATGGATTTTTAAAAAATCCATTGAAAACCCATATTACTGGGAGAAAAATGAGCTTTTTACAAAAAAATTCTCAGACTGGGAAACACCTTTCCAAGTATGAAACATTAAAAAAAAAAAAACTACTCAAAGCTAAATATGTCTACGTAAGAAAAAATTTCCACAAAAGTTAAGATGTGCTGTGGTAAGAAAAATCCTAACTCAAATGACAAGTAAATATAGGGTGTCCCCCAAAAATGTATACACACTTTGAATAATTATTCATTTCAATGGGTTAAATCTGAAAAGAAACATAAACATCAATTGAGCTATCAGAAAAAAGTGTGTACATTTTTGGGGGACACCCTGTCCATATAAAGTTAACCTACTAAGAGCTCTGATACATGTGAGCGATAAATACCTACACCCCATTAGAACAGCTGGGTCAGAAGCGTGAACATTTTGTAGAAGCGAAAAAGCCAGTGCTTCCTAAATACATGAGAAACTGGCTCCTGTAACTCAAGAGCAGAACCAATAAGGGAAGCTTCAATGACAGGTGACGGCAGTTTTCATCTATCACTCGGGTGGGCGAAGATTGGAAAGTGTGATGAAACTAAGTTGGTGGAGTCGTGCCAGAGGATGTATTCAAATGTGTTACCAGTTGGAAATCGCACGCACCATCTCTAGGGAGGCGTGTGGCCGAGTGTCTCAGCTCAGGCGCCACTGGATACAGGGTGCGGTGGTGTCCTCAGGACAAGTTGATCAAAAAAAAAAAAGATGTTTGATGGTCCCTGCCTGCTTGAGAATTAATTTGTCAGATGAAGTGTCGCATCTGTGTCTGTGACGCGATGCTCACAGAAAGAAGAGAGTGCCCTCTTGAATGGAATAGCAAAGGATGGGGAGTACCCTAAATGTGCCTCAGCGGGGGGCGGCTGAATAAATGATGGTTCTAGTCAGTGGAATCCTACACAGGCATAAAAGCAATAGAGAGGACACTACTGACGAACAGATCCCCAAAAGAGGCTTAACCAACACCTAAAGTGCAGAACGCTGTAATTTATGTTACCATTTGTGAAAAGGAGTTGTGCATGCTGGTTTTTCCCAGCATGCAGTCCTCAGAGATGCACCAGGAAGGGAGGAAAGCGCTGAAAAAAGTCACTGAACACCTTGATCCACTGTGCCTGAAGCTGATGCAACCCCTGAGCTTTTTAATTACATGAGCTAATGCATTTCCTTTCTCTCTCAATCCAGACTCAGTGTTGCCACTTGCAGTATGGAACCTGCCAAATACAAGTGCCTAGTGTCAGGCGTGCTCATCAGTTCCCTCAATCACTCTATTCAACTGATGGACCGCACCCTAACCCTAGCATGCTGGTTGAACCCGTTCCTCAGACAGATCACATGTTCTGGACACCACATCCCACCGGTGGCCCCAGCGGACTGACACCACCATCACCTTAGATTTAGTGGCCACAAGGAGCCCCCCTTTACCTCCAGTCTGGAAGTTGAGTGCCACCATTTGGGAGCCGCACAGCCAGAGGCGGAAGGGGTCGTAGTTGGAGGAGTCCACCCTCTGTCCCTTCGGGTAAACACGGGTCAGGCCCTTCTGATTGTACTTCAGGAGCTCAATGGGTTTCTGTCTGACGACGCTGTCGGCCTTCGTCTCCACAAAGGAACGGATCTCTCGGAAGTCGGGATTCTCTGCAGACAGCGACAGAGGCACCGTTTATTTTGTGTCTCCTGCCTTTCCTTCATGCAGAGGCTTCTAAAATGAAACCAGGAATCTCTGGGACAGGATGCGCACGTGGTTCTGATGATATTGCCATAACTGGGACTGCTATGGGCTCCTGTGCTTCCGGGAGCCTAGCTATTAAAGGTGCCAAGTGTTCCCACAACCTTTTCATCTAGGTTGTTTTCTTTTTAAAATTACCAGCAGCCTTGCACAAGAAAACAAAAATGGTACAATTATAGAAAGGGGGAATGGCCTCAGGGATCAGCACATATCAGGAGATCTTAGGAGTGGCTTCCTCATCAAAGGTGATGTAGATACAGGCGAGTAAACCAAGCCGCTTGGTGGGAGAATGGAGTGCTCACAGGAAGAGCTGTGAAAGAGGAGGGGGCAATGAATGGGCAGAGAGGGATGGGAATATGCAAACAATTTTTTGTTGGATGAAGCTTTGCTACTTCATATCCAGCTGTGGTGGGACAGCCCATAAACCTGCGGAGTGGAGGTGCCTCCCAGTGACCATTAACTCAGGGGTTTAGTACTGTTTCTCTGGTCCCTGGTCCTGGAATCACAATTTCTTGAGATCAAAGATAGGATCGCCTCAAAGAAAGGGGGAAGAGAATGTGAATGGGTTCATTCTAAGATAAAGAACTGGCTACTTTAGAGAATTTGGTAGAAGAGCCATTTTTTAATACAGTACTGGATACTAGCCCCCAAAGATCCTGATCCCTGGAACCTGTGAATATGCAGCCTTTTATGTCAAAAGGGACTTTGCAGATATAATTAAATTAAGGAGCTTGCCATGGGGAGATTATCTGCGCTCTCAATGTAACCCAGGGTCCTTGTAATAGGGACATATTTTGACTACATGGAAGAGAAGGCCATGTGACTGAGAGGCAGATTGGAGTGATGCAGCCACTAGCTAAGGAATGCTGGCAGCCACCAGAAGCTGGAAGAGACAAGGAACATATTCTCCCCTGGAGGGAGTGGCTGAAATCTGCCCACACCTTGATTTCAGCCTAGAGATATTGACTTTAGACTTCTGGCTTCCAGGAGGCCAGAGAGTATAAATACATGTTGTTTTCAGCCACCAAATTTGTAGTTAACAGTAGAAAACTAACAACCTTCCCTCTGAGAGGGTTTTCCTCCTCAAGCTATCAGAAGGGCCTGTCACGAGCACCGTGGTCCTAAGGACTAATTCAGGGGAAGCGCCACCAAGAGCAGTTCAGAACGAGCAGGAACCACACTCACTGTGCCCTCTAACAACAAAGAGGAAATGTGTTTTCACCGTGTCCGGAGGCAGTCAGGGGAGACAGTACCTAAATTGTCTTTGGTCTTGCTGGTTGGTTTGCAGTAGACGACCAGGTCCGAGAGCTCGATGGCGATCGACTGGTTCTTCTCCCAGTATTTCATGTTGTTCTCCTGTTGGGGGCCAATTGTCTTTAGTGTCAGACCTCAAGCCAGCACCCGCGAAATCCCATCGCCCCAGCTCACCTGGCATGCCTTCCTCTGGGCCCTCCTGCATGCTCAGATCTTTGACGCGGTTGAATGTTTTCCTTGCCCCTGCCCCTCCTCTCTTTCCTTCCTCTTCCTGCCGAAATTCTTGACCAAGTTGTTTCCACCCAGGATTGGTGTCTGTCACCACACCACTCTCCTTAACCCTCTGCTCTCGGCGTCCTGGCCTGTCCCTTCCCCTAAAACCACTGTTACAGCTCGTCCAATTCTAGTTCTCCAAGCCCATGACCTCATGTCCTCCTGGGCTCTATAGATCACAGCATCCTTCTTATAACTTGCTGAACCCTGCACCCCTCTCCTCTGAGGTTGAGGCAGTGTGCACAGCCTCCTCCTGCCTCTGATTTCTCTAAAATGCCCCAGAGGTCACATCCCAGGTCCCCTGAATCACAGCAGTGACCTCCCGGCTCCTCACCCTGCAGCTCCCGTCCTCCCTCTTTTGCGTTTCATCAGCTCCCTCCTCCTGGACCCTACCCAGATCATTCCTTCTCCAGGAAGCCTTCCTGGATTACTCCAGCCAGGACTGGAAAAGGATATTGCCCTCCTCAAGTCACCCAGAGTGCTCACCATTTCACCCACACTTGGCCTTGCTCAGCCTTAAACACTGTCCCTTGTCCGACTGTCCGGCATTGATGCCATTCATCACTATTGCCCAGACCCTGTTTCCCCACTGAGACATGTCCCTTGGGAGCAAGCCCTTTGGGGAACAAGTGTTCAGGTGGCAGGTAGTGAGGGGGGCTACACAACACAGTGGTAATGACAGTGGAAACAAATCAGAGACATGGGTTTGAAAGCGGCCCCTGCTATTTATTAGCTGGGTCAACAGGGCCAGTCACAGACTCTCTCTGCACCTCAGTTTCCTCAACTGTAAAATAAGGCTAAGATGAGTACTCTACTCTTAGAGAATTAGACAAGGAGGACTTGGCACTCCTCCAGGCTTGCAGGGCCACTCAGAAATGTCCCCCAGGCAAAGGACAGAAAAAGTCCACTCTTTACACAAGTGGGTGTGGGACCCACCTCAACCCATAAGCACCCACATAAATCCTGGGGCCAAAGTGGACCTTGGCAATGACCAGCAAACAAGCCTTTTATATGAGCCCCAGCAGTGACCACATCACCAGGGCAGATTAGAATGTGACTGTAAGCCTCCAAAATTTGTTCTAGCTCACCTATGCATGCCTAACTTTCGCCAGCCCTTTCCACACTTTCTGAATGCAAGCCATAATGGTAGGGCTGTTGTAGGTGGGATGGGCCAGAATCAGTGGCAAAGGTGCCAGCCACATAGTTGATAGCAAAATGCCATGAGGAAAACAGAAGCCTTACTTGTTTTTGGACTTCAGGTGTTTTCTCCTGAACCCTGTATCAACGTGGCTTTGTATTCTGGGTGGTTTCACCATGGGGTTGTTTGGAGACAGAAAACCCCAGCAATAACACAGTTCACCTCTAATGACAACGGAATTGCTTTAAATGTGTGTGTGGGAGGGTCATACCTCCGGTGAATTATAGAACTTTGGCCTCACAAAGCACAGAGCAATGACAAGCTATGGGCTTCACGTTTTCCAACCTTAGCAGAAGACATATTAGTTTAAGATGAAATACCAGTTGCTTCCTCAAAATCTTATAATAATTATTCTAAAAAAATGGCAGAATTTGCCCGCCAGGCCATCTCGGAATATGAAGTCACAACACAGTGCATGGGCCAGGCTCTGGAAACTCACTAACCAGATGGGCCTTAGTGACTGGTCTTGTGCCAGGGACTGAAGGAGCCCGGGGACTGTGTGAAATTACAGGTCCCTGAGCATGTTCTTATGGGCAGGCACAGCGGGGAAGCCTCGGTGAGGAGCGCCCAGCAGTGAGCTGAGAGCTCACCTCACCTTGGTCTCCCACAGGCAGGATGGGGCCTCCTTCCTGTTCCCGCACCAGCTCTTCTTACAGCTGGTTGTGCCCAGAGCAAGACTTCGTCAATTCCAGAAACTCCTGCTTTTTTTTTAACCTTCATGTATCATAAGACTTTAAAAAGCTTTTCTCATGAAATCTTAGCAGTTGTAAAAACCAATTAAAGAGGAATGTAGATCAAAGACAGAGAACAGCAGCCTCGAACAGCCAGGCTTAATTTCTGAAGCCTCATGCAGGAGAGGAGAGAAAGGGGCAGAGAACCTTTGAGTGAAGTCACATTTTCCTCCATGAAAAGCGGTCGAGAGCCAGGACGCACAGGGAGGAGGAGGGGGCCGTCGCCATGCCTATACCGCTGAGCCCACACTCAGACCACTTTCAGGGGAGGTTTGGGTGCCTTAGAATAAAGTCTACAGAGAACAGTTGCTAAGGGCTTCGTCGCTGGTGTTTTTCTCCATTCTCAGCTTTAGGGGCCCAGAATCACAAATACTAGAACATGCTTAGGAGGGTCACAGGCTGGCAAATGGTGCCATTCAGTTCATGATGACAACCATTCAATAGGCAATGAGAACACACCTGGAAGAAGGTAGGGGAAAATGATCTTTCAAATGAACCTTGGTACAGTGGCGCCCCCCTGTGCCTCGGAGCTGTTCTACACTGAAGGCCCGGAGGCAAATGAGATGCCCTGACCAGGAAAGATGGGAACTTGCTGACCGCAGCTCATCATAAGTGACTGGTGATGGTGTGACAAGACTTGGGAAGAATGAGGACTCATATGTGAGGCCTCTGACTAGACTCTGGGACAGGAAAGATGACAGGTCCTACCAGCTCTCTGTAGAAAGTCTTCTTAGTAAGAGGACATCACCTTAGGGTGTTGAAAGGGTGAGTCAAGGTGACCAGAGACTGGCCAAGTGTGAGGTCCCCCAGGGGGAAGGAAAGACCGGGCTGCTGCCGCCTCCTCCCAGGACACTGAAGGAGAAAGACCCATCAACGATAACCAGAGGTCACAAGGGCCCAAGAGATCCTGAGAAGACTTTAAAACCATTCTTTTAGGTCAAGACCTGTCTTAGAAGACGTGTGCATATGGGAAACCCTAAAATTTCTTCCCAGTTCTATGGCCACAGGAGAGAGCAGACAGCACCTTACACCTCCCCAAGCCCTCCTGGTGTGACGACAATGTGGTGATTAAATACCATTGTGAGTTGAGCACTTGCTGTACCAGCCTAGCACTTCTCACGCTTCATCTCCTTTCATCTTTGGCTCCTCATTTTGCAAACAAGGAAACTGAGGCCCAGAGACGTTTAGTGACTTGCCCAGGGACCAGCCCTGCCAGGATGCAAACTCCAGTCTGCCTGGGACTACCCTCCTGCTCTTACCCAGCACCCTTCTCAAAACGCTTCCAGCCCAACACTAAGCTCCGGGCAGGATCACCCTGGAAAGCCCACGCCCATCTAGAGTGGAAGTTCTTCCACAACACAAACTTCTGGAGGGAAAGAAGGGGTCCTGCCAGTTACATTTCCCCAGGGCCACTGTGGGGCCAGGGAGGCGAGCTCAGGGCACGCTTGCTATAGGAGGGGTCCCACCTGCTTTGAACAACGTTTAGAGACAAGAAAACACAATAAGGAAGGCAAAACTTTCTTGTCAAGATATGGCCCCAAACATCAAGAGTCACTGCGCACACTCCGACTTCTGAAGGTCTGAACTAGCCCCAGCTTCCAGGGGACCTCCAATATCCCTTCCTCTTCAAAATGATTGGCGCTCCTATTGTCCGAACCCACCCCATCGCCTCCCTGAATTCTGTGTGGCCCTGGGCCTGCACCTCCTGCTGCCGAGACCCACCCATGTCGCAGCAGAGCACACCAGGCCCACCGGAGCCCAGCTGAGCCGAGGGCCTACCTTGGTGTCGATCTTCCAGGTGATCTGCCGGATGCTCTGGAACCACTCGAAGAGCTCCTCCACCCGGTCCGTGGCGAACTCCACCGGCGGGTCACCCTGCTTCTTGGGCTCCAGGATGAAGACGAAGGGCTTCTGGTTTTTCCCGTGCGGGGCTTTCACTTTGTGAGAGAATAACACAAGCCTGGTCAGCCTGTTGAGAGCCACGAAGACCAGACTGCACGCTGCTCGAGCCACTTGTGTCACGAACCCAAATGCCACTGCGTGGGCAGTGCTGACGGGGACGTCGGCTTTGTGCCAGGCAGGGTCTGCCCTCCACACGTGACTGCTCAAGCTATGCAGCAGCCTCAGCTGTGTTCTCCAAGAAGACAGACCCACGTCCTAAGCCCTGGTACCTAGGAATGGGAACGCAGTTGGAAACAGGGTCTTTGCAGATATACTTAAGGATCTCAGGATGAGGCCATCCTGGAGTCATCTAAGCATCAGTGTCCTTACCAGAGAAAGAAGAGGGAGACTTGAGACACAGACACAGGGATGGCGGCCACTAAAGACAGAGGCAGCGACTGGAGTGATGCAGCCACAAGCCAAGGGACACCGAGGGTGGCCAGCAGCCACCAGGAGGTGGGAGGGAGGCATGGAACAGATTCTGCAGAGAAAGCGTTTTTAGGTAAGAAAAAGAAGGCCACGAGAGGATAAAGTATCTGCCAGGTAACATTAGTCACTAAGATCTCTGGGCTTGTATATGCCAGGCAGTATTCTAAGCAGATTACACGCACTGTATCTTATTCCATCTTTATCACGACCTTCTGGGGCGCCACTCCTGTCATGCCCGTTTTACAGGAGAGGAAACAGAGACACGCTGAGGAGAAGTGACGCATGGAGGGTCACACAGCCAGTCATGGCAAAGCTGGGGCTCGAATCAGACCTGGCTTCAAGGCTCCTACTCGTCACCACTCAGCCACGTGCCTGCGCTCTGCAAGCACAGGGCAGACGATACACAGAGCAACACAAGTGAGTCTCAGCTCATCCATGAACTTGCTGGGGACCTCGGGCAGGGCTTGTGGTCACCTAGGGGCTTGGTTTCTCACCTGTTAACTGGAACCAAGAATTCCTCTCTTACCTACCCTCTCAGGTTGTTGTCAAGAGAAAAACAGACAAACAGGTAATAAATGGAGAAAGCAAAGAGCTGACACTAGAAGCAGAAAGTTCCTGGCACTATTGTTATCTGCGGCTTAGGACCCTGCTCAGGCCTCTCCAACAAAAGTACTGGAGGGAATAGGCCCAGACTAATGCATGGATGGACCGCACGGAGCTGTGGAAACACGGTGGCTCAGCGAGGAGCGCTGCGCAGGCCATTCTTGCCCAGAATGTCCTCACCGCCTCTGTCCCTTCGTGTGGAAGCTGCTACGTCCCCACTGAAAAGCGGGCCTGGTCAGGCTCAGATGTGCTGAAGGCTCGGAGGATGAGACTACCACTGGCACCGTTGTATGCGCCTGTGTGCGTGGGCCGTGCATTCACATCTCCCCTTGCACCAGACTCCAAGGTGGGCAGGCCAGGTTTGCCCATGCCCAGCTGGGCAGCCAGCAAGTGGAGGTTCAGAAAGAAGTGACAGGTCCAGGGTCTCAGAGCAACTGAGAGGCTGAGCTGGGCTTACAACCGGACACTCCTAACTCCATGCTCCGTCACAGCCGGGCCAACAGCCCGGCTCCTCTTAAAATAGCGTGGGAAACCCAGGCAGATCTCTGAAATGATGATGTTTGGAATAACAACATTAAACATGCATCTAGCACTTGCTCTGCACCAGACCCTGTGTTAGCACTTGACAGTTATTAACAGCAGACATAACACTGCAATCAGCAACCAGCCTGGCCCAATACTCAACCTGAGCATCCAAGTCAAGGCTAGAAGGACCCAGGCGGAGCCACCTCCCTGCAGGGGGTGGTTCTGAGGCCAGACTGGAGGATTTGGGTGGGAATCCAGGCTAAGACCATGTGTGAACGTACCAACATTATAGGTGTTGAGATCCAATATTCCTTTGCAAAGAGACCCTAAGGGATTGTCTTCAATAATCTGTGAAGAAATAAGACATAACTCACGTTAGCCTTAACAGGTATAATCACAAAAGACAACCTGTTTCCAAAGCACACCGTTTAGCAGAGACACTGCCGGTGGAACTGTTTAAAATGCATTTTCATTACCGGATACGTCCAAGGGGAGAGAGCTAACTAATGAAGCATGTTACCGATAGGGACTCAGCAGTGAGCAGGTGCCCGCAGGTGCGGCGATTCATTTTCCAATCTGTAAAAATGCGCCTTGTGAATTCTAGAACAGGTTTTGAAGCGTTTCCATAGATCTGATTTCAAAAACATCCCAGACCCTTTATTCTGACATTATTATGAAATGGAACTATCTGGTCACCTAAAGCACAACTCAAGAACCTTCTGTGACTCTCCCTGTCCTACGGGAGCAACATCCATGCTGTCATCTGACTTTAAGGCTTTCTAGGAGCCCCGTTCAGCCTTCCTGCTCTACCTCCCACTGTACATCTGAACCATCCCAGGGTCCAGGTGAGATAGGGAACACCTTGTCTTAGGAGAACTGGCAGAACTGTGCATCTGCCCATTGCCTGTACACCCCCATTCCTCCACCAGGCTAATGCTCTGTGGGTAGAGGCATCATGGACAGATGCAATAAGGGGGTTACATCTCTGCCTCAGGTTGAACACACTGAACACACTCATGTTCCCACCACCACACCTTTGCTTAGGCTGTACCTTCCACCTGGAATTCCCTTCTGTCAGTCTCTTGCTGTTGAGCTCTAACTTGACTTTTAAGGTTCCAATGCCCCTTCCTCCATGCAGCCTTCCCAGATTGCCCCAACTCCCTTAGAAAATCCCTTAAGCTCAAACAGGACCTTAAAGCCCTCATTATAAAGAGTTCATCCCTGGTGTAGTGCTGTCACAATGAAAGTGGCTTCTTTTTGAGTCTGCTGGGCAAGAGGAAGCAGGAAACAGAAACCAGGTTTGCAGTGTCACCAGGAAGGCCTCAGCACGCCTTCCACTTTGGCCCGCTTGCTTATCGACACCAAGCACGTTCGTTCTGAATGTCTGGCTGGCCAAACGAAATGTGTTTCATTTGCAAGCTGCTTTAGGCAAAGGACATATTCCCCATTCGGCCATTTTCACTCCAGAGAGATTCCTCCTGCATATTCAAACCTTTCCAGCCCAGAACAACCTGATTAAAATATGATGGCGCGTCACAGTGACTTTCACCCACGACAGCTCAGGGCGCAATCCTGATTCCCATGTCACTCTGCTTCAGGGCTCCACGGGGACCACACGTCATCATGTATAAAATGTAACCGCTGAGGTGACTCGGTGGATTCCCCGAGGATGAGCAGGTCCCTCCCTGCAACGATCGAGACTTACCTGCTTCTCGAGCTCCTCCACATCAACCGTTGAAATGTCCTCGACATAATTGGACGGGAAGTAGTGCTGGATTTTGGTTCCGTAGTCTCCTTTCCACCTAGATAAACACAGAGGGTATCAAGGGCCTCGCTGGGCGTGTTCATCCATTCCTGTCCCTTAGACCCCAGCAGCTGGTGGGAGAAAGGCGGCCAGTGACCGAATGACCAGAAGGTGTGTTGCGGTAATGGAGCATTTCAAAGGGATCCTCTGATTTTCCATCAGCAATGAGTGGGATTGGAGGGAAATCCTCTTGCCATTTGGTCAAACTCATGGACCCTGTACATGAGTTAGGTTAAGAGCGTGCGCTCTGGAGTCAGAAGGTCTGACTTCAAATCTCAGCCTGCTGTGTGGCCCTGGACAAGTTACTGTACTTCTCTGTGCCAGTCTGTTTGCAAAATGCAGGTTCAGCTATCTTGTGGGAAGATGAGATACTGATCTTGTGAGGTGCTTCAATCTCTGCCAGTGTTCATGGTTAGGAACAAATTCTTACGGCTCTCAGGTAGAAATCACCCCACAAAACCACCTACGATGGGGCCTGTGGCTGGGCAGCAAGTTTTTCTTCCCACGTGAAAAGAGGGAAGAGCTAACCGGACCTCAGCACACCAGGTACCTTTGACTTAAAATGCATCTTCTTCAACCCAGGACGGGGCCACTGCATAGGGCACAGGACTGAGCTGTAGCATAAGAATTTGAATTTGAAATAATGCCAGGCTTATGGAATGGAAAGAGCCTGTGCTACTTAGCAGCTGTGGAACTTTGGAAAGTCTCATTTGCCACGTCTGTAACGTGGGGATAATCATAGTAAAAACTCCACAGGGTCGTAATGAGGATTTGGTTAGATGACGTCTGAAAGCTATTAGCACAGTGTGTGGCATACAGGAAGACCTCAGAAATGGTAGCTGCTATTATAATAAAAATAATATATAATATGATATGTGATTTACTATGATAATAATTGGTGTTTATTTGTTTTTCTACATACAGCATGCAGGTATCAAGCCATTTCCCAGAGAAGGTAGAACAGGTCACAGCCAGCCCAGAACACAGATAAAAGGGGTCAGAGCTCAGCCAGCACTTGTGTCTCACCACCAAAAAGTGACCAGTGAAGTTCATCCACCAAGCAGCCAACCTTACCAGCCTCCGGGCTCCTTGGAGACGTTGTGAATGAGGGCGCCGCGGCAGAAGCTCAGCTCATCACTCTGCTTGGCTTTGTAGTCATACAGAGCTTTCACGGTTCTCTGAGGCTTTCAGGGAAAACAAAAAGAAAAAGGTCAGGCAGGCTGATGAGCAGAGGGAGGCTTCTGCATTTACTGTCGCACATGTAGTTCTCCTTAGGGAGCCGGAGGCTTCAGTCCAGGGTTATAGCGCCATCTGCTGGCACGTTTCTAGCATTGCGAAGAACCCGTAGTCTTAAAAAGTCACCAGTAGAGATGGGGACTGGTCAGAGCCAAGGGCACCTCCATCACCCCAAATTGCTCAATTTCCTCAACACGCCTTTCAGATTAAGCCATGACCACGACCTGTGAAGTCCTCAGAGCCCATGCTCAACGACCCTCCCAGAAGTTCAAACTCAACACCATTCCTGGCCATCCTCGGCCTCACCAATGTTTAGCCAGGCCAGGGGGCCTCTAACTGGACTCCTGCAGGACACTGACATTTTGCATGAGTAACCGAGGCACTCCTCCGTGGAAGTCATCCAAAGGTGATCTCGGCAGAAACAAATAACCCAGAACTTACTCAGGATAAAAATTTTCTTCAATATAATGTGCGTTAATGCCTGTGTGGCAAGCATAAATTCATGGCAAAATGAATGCCCATGCAGCAAGCAAATGTTAATCATAAAATCTGAAGCTGTCAAACTTGTTTAGATCAGCAATTTCCCTCTTACTCCCCCACCCCCAACCAAGGAAATGTGGACAGGTTTTACAAGGAATCTAGTAAAACTGCTCCTTCAAGCAGAGGCTATGGAGTCAAATATGTGGGTTCAAATTATTGCTCTGCTCTTTACTACTATATAACCTTGAGGTGTTCTCAGACTCAGTTTCTCCATTCTGGAAAGGGAAATTAAAACTTTACATGCTTCACAGGGTTAAAACTATTTAATGAGATAGTGCAAGACAAAAATGATAATATCTAGCATTTATTAAGGGCTTACTATAGTCAAAACACTGCTCTAGGCCTCTTATCTATATCTCCTTTAATACTTCCAACAACCATAACAGGTAGGTAGCAGTGTTCTTATATCCATTTTACAGAGGAGAAAACGGAGGTTCAGAGAGATGAAGTATCCTTGCCCAAGGTCAACTAGCTGGTAGGTGGCTGAGTGCAAAGATGAATCAATCCACCTGAGTTATTGCCATAGTTCATGATATTCCTTAAGAAGCAATCTAGTCCTAGCCGGTTTGGCTAAGTGGATAGAGCATCGGCCCACGCGGACTGAAGGGTCTCGGGTTCATTTCTGGTCAAGGGCACAGACCTCAGTTGCAGTCTTGATCCCCAGCCCTGGTCGGGGCTCATGTGGGAGGCAACCAATCATTGCGTCTCTCTCCCCTCGATGTTTCTCTCTCCCCGTCCCTTCCACTCTCTCTAAAGATCAATGGAAAAATATCCCTGGGTGACGATTAACAAAACCAAAAAAAGGCAATCTAATCTGGGTTCTGCAAGTTCTACCACAGGAACCCTCAACCAGAGGCTAACCAGGTCTCCTGCCCTTGTCTCCCCCACCTGCAAATGGAGCCTAACTGCCCATCTTGCTTCAAGGGTGGATATCAGAATCTGAGCCACATCTCTCCCCATGAATCCCCACGAGTCACTGCCAGGCTCCCAGGCCACAAGGAAGGTACAGCCAGGGGCAGAGGTGGGGGTGCCATATGATGGCTTCCACAAGGAGCCAGTCCCCGGCCTGACAGACGGTCCCACAGAATCATTGGACCAAGTAGGCAGCAGCAATGCCAAGTGGCTAAGAGCACATACCTCGTAGCCACTGGGTCCGGATTCCAGCTCCACACCTTCCTAGCTATGTGGCCTCAGCAATTACTCAACTTCTGTGTGCCTCGGTTTCCTCAGCTGTACAATGAGCACAAAACTAGTACCCACCGCAGGGGGCTGTTCTGAGGATTAATAAGCTGTCAAGTACTTAGGACAATGCCTGATGCATGGTCGTGGGTGTGTTACCTATTATTATTCATCTAGTCATTCCAGTTCTAAGAACACATCCAAAGGAAATAATACTAGAGATGCCCAAAGCCTCACAGGTGAAGAAGTTCATTTTAGGATTAACGAGCAGAGCAAGAGACCAGAAATGACCCAAATGGCCACTGGACGGGGACACTGATAAACTGGCACAGCCACCCAGAATATTCTACAGCACAGACAACATGCTTTTTTTAAAGTTAAAATGCCAATTCATGTACTAGTATTTCATCTCAGTGGCTTGGCCTACCAGGTTAGACAAAAAAGGTCATTAAGAAGATTAGTGACAGAGAAGCCCACCCATGACCAAGTGGCAAGCGAGCAAAGCAGAATAAAAATGACAAATGCAGGTGGTGGTGACTGTAAAATACAGGCAAAGACCAGGAGAGACAGAACAGCCAGCAGCAGTGCAGACAGCCACTGTGTTAGGACAGTGAGACGAGGACTGACTATTTTTCTGATTTTCAAATGTGTTTTTCTAATTGTTACACCATTTTTCAATCATTAATAGTAACAGTTTTATTTCCAGGCATTCACCTCAGTTGGGCAACTTGCAATCACATTCAGCATGCAGTCACGTTTTGCTTGGCTCACGTAAAATAGGAAGATTTTCTCTACAACTTAACTTAGTTGCCAGGGTTTAAAAATGGGGAGATTTCACATAAAACATCTAAAGTATTGGCTTATCTTAAGCCAGTCGGAGAAAGATAAATGTCACATGATCTCACTCACTTGTGGAGTGTAATGAACATTAACTGATGAACAAAAATAGATCCAGAGACATAGAAGCATCGAACAGACCGTTGAACCTCAGAGGAAAGGCAGCGGGGGGCGGGGGTGGGGGCGGTGTTAAGAGATCAACCAAAGGACTTGTATGCATGCATATGAGCATAATCAATGGATACAGACAGTAGGGGGGTGAGGGCCTGTGCTGGGGGGCAGGAGCAGGCAGGGAGAGGTTAATGGGAGAAAAGGGAGACATATATAATACTTTAAAGCATAAATAAATAAATAAAGTATTGGTTTATCTTGATAAATCAGAAGACCTGACCTGCTCTCTGGAGAGGCGAGGATGGCTGCCCCTGGGGAGTGGCTGCCCTTGAGGCAGGCGGTGTGCTCCCCCGTTTACCATGGTCCCCGCCACCCCGACATTCCGTTGACATGAGGCCAGGTCATTCTCATTACCAAAGCATCCGTCTTCAATAAAAGTTTTTGCTATCAAGCTAATGCATTTTGCACACAGCTCCATTTGCCAACAACTTTTCAAGACTTCATTTCTTGCTGAAAGGAATTTGCATTGGCCAAGAATTTTAAGTTAAAAAAATAATAAATTTGTCTCTAGATTTCCACAGAGCCCACAGTGCAGCCCCTCTCTGATCAGGAATTTTATACTGATGGCAGCCCCAGATAGCCCCCCCAAAACAGGAAATTCACATCATTCCTCCTCCACAGGCTCACACTACATTCGAGATGAAACCAGAGGGAGGAGGAGCTGGGGGCTGAGGGTAAAATCTAGCCCTACCTGCAGGAAGTTACACTGCAGCCGGGCTGGGAATATGAGATGGTGTTCGCGCTGCAAGGTCAGTGAACGAGATGGAATTTATAAACACCACCCACTCAGCTGGTGAGCAAGAAACATTTGAAAGACTTTTAATTAGAAGCTGTGTGGCCCAAAGGTGATTCATCAAACCTCAGAATTTTAGCGAGGCACGGTCACATTTGGAAGGAATTCGATTAACCTCTTGCCTGAAACTAGATGTCATATTGTCAATCATTTTCTCTAAAAAAAAATTTTTTTTTTTTTGGCTAAGTTTCCCAAAATGTTCCCTCGCTCTATTATGACCAGGGGCAAGGGGACTGGGAAGTGGGGCGGGGGGGGGGGGGGGGGGGAATTGAAACCCGTGTCAATCTAGCGACCAGGAAATAGTGTAAATTAAAAGTTGGCACTGTACCATGGAAGGATTGATTTCACTGGGATCCACATACATTCTGCTGACGTCATACAGGGAGTTTATATCTCTTTCCTGAAAAAGAACAGAGAGAAATAAATAGAACCATCCCTGCTCCTGGGACAGCCCAAGGACAGAGCAAGGGCTGCAGAGCCCTGTGCTTTCCTGCTCTCTAGCAGAAGAGCTGAAACCTCACAGTTTACTCATGCCTTGTGGGTAGAGACAGTTAAGACATCATAAAGAAGTTCCCCAAAACTTAGAAAATTTACCCCAAAATGAGAAAGGCCCTATTCTGCCCTACTGTGTGCCAGGCCCTGTGCCCCTCTGTAAAACACAAACCCTGAGTGTGCGGGAGCCCATTGTATTTCTCTTCCCGACTCGCATTCTGTGGTGGTCGCCGCTTGAAACTGGCCACCTTGGGAGTATTTACACCATGGAAATTGGCAAATGCCACAAGCCAGGGCTTCTTTCCGCAGAGAGCTGGTTAAATGTTTACCGCACACACTGAAAACCTCCCCTCCCCTCCCCACTCTGCTTCTCTCATTGGGTTCCAGCCACATGAGCCACCTTTCTGTCCCTCAGTCACCCCTGGGCTTGTGGCGGCTGCTCCTCCGTATGGAACCAGCTTCCTTCACAGCAACCATGTCCAATTCACTGCCTCTTCCAGCTTTCACCGCACATTTTAATCCTCGCAAGAGGCCTTCTCTGACCGCCCCGCCCCAACCTAACCTAAGGCCCATCCCTATGCACCATCCTGTCTGATGTTCCTCCTTGTGATTCACACGGCCTGAGGCACCTTATTTCTGTGACTGCACGTTAGCCAGCTCCCCTGCCTAGAACCTAAACTCCCCGAGGGCAGCCACTGTACTCTCAGATGGAGAAGAGCGCCTGGCATGTGGGGGATGCACAATAAATCTCGTAAGTTAGTGAATGCACCTGATAGGAACTGGGACCGCTAATCAGATCAGGGCTCTCTCTGCTCAGAACCCTCCAATGGCTCAGAATAGAAGCCAGTGTCTTACCACAGCCCTACTCCACACAGGGCCTACTAATCCCCATCTCATTAAGTTCTACCCCCACCCTGCCTTTCTCTCTGCACCTCCAGGGACGTCCTCACCTCAGGACCTTTGCACTTGCGGCTCTTCCTCCACATAACTGCATGACTCACTCCCTCACCCCTGCTAACATCTGCTCAAACGTTTCCTTCTCAGGGAGCTCTTCCCAGACCACCTTTGAGAACTGCAACCCCTTTCACGTCACCCTGAATCCACTTATCCACCTACCGGGTTTGTTTTTCTCCACAGCACGTATCACCGTCCCGCAACGCTCTGTATATATTTTTAATTTATCTCATCTATTATCCGTCTCCCCCACACTAGACTACAGGCAGCATGAGGGCAGGCAGGGTCTTTGTGCGCTGTGTCCAATTTTGTATCCCTGGGACGAGAGCAGCATCAGACCCATGGTAAGTGCTCCACAAAAGGTTTGCTGAATGAATGAACAGATGAGTTATAACCTCAGGCAAGACATTCCACCAAGTGACAAGCGAGTCAGCCGCCTACCATGTTGTAGCGCTCCAGGAGCTCGGGCGTCACGGGGTAGCGCAGCTTCATCTTCCGGTAGAGCGCGTGCTTCTCGTAGTAGCTGACAAGCTCCACCAGGCTCTCGAAGTAGGCGGAGGTCCCCAGCACGAAGTGCCGGCCGTCCCGGTTGATGCGGCAGTGTTTCACCTTGCCCCGGGCCCTGGGGGGAACCACACGGGGCTGACGCGCCGAGACTGTGGCAGCCAGACAACTGCTGTCCAACCTACAGTCCCCACCTCTTAGAAACAACCTACTTACCCGTTCTCAGGGGACCACACAAACAGGGTATAACATGCCTATGAATACAATGATGTGGGTCTTTTCTAGCTCCTCTCACCCGTCCCCTCCTCCCCAACTACAGGACTTGACTTGGGGAACACCCAGATCAGGGTTGGCAAACTATGACCCACAGGCCCCATCTGGCCCACCTCCTGTTTTTGTAAATAAAGTTTTATTGAAACACGACCACATTCATTTGCTTATGCATTGCCTGTGGCAATACCATGGCAAAGTGGAATAGTTGCAACAGAGACCATATGGCCTGAAAGGCCTAGAATATTTGTTTCTGGTCCTTTACAGAAATCGTTTGCCAGTCTCCACTCTAGGACTCTGGGACTTCCTGCCCCAATCCTGAAATCTTATCCAAAAATTCCCCATCTGGTGCAACAATGGCTCCCCCACAAAAAAAAAAAAAAAAAGGAAACAAGTTTTTTATTTCCTCACTCACCCATTTGAAACAAGAGACAGAAAAAAAAAGAAAGAAAAAACCCAAACCAGAACAGACGCCTCGACCTTACTCCTCAGCTTTTATCAGCAAGAATAGACACATTTGGGAAAATAGGTATTGACCTTAACTTTACAGCCAAGAGCATCTTTTTATTAAAACTGTCTACCAGCACAGTTACTATGGGAGAGCTACTCATCTTTTTAAAAATGTTGCACCTTAGAGACATTTTTTATGGATTTAAAACACACATCCTGTGTAAGCCATTTCTTCAGAAAGCCTGTAAAAAAAATGCTAGAAGACTTCTGTTTCAGTCGCTTATTTGCAGTGATATTTTTTTTAAAAAGATATACTGCTGAGTAGAAATACAAGTTGCAGAATAAAACCATAGTACGATCCCATTTGTATTTTTAAAAAGTAGAACAGACTGCCCACACACAACACGGCACTACAGACTTCCCACACGTGTACCACATATGTGTGTACATGTTTTATCTAAATGGAGACACCAGTAAAAACCTGCGCTCTCTACCAGGACAAGGATGAGGTGAGCCGGACCACAAGGGGCTTCCACCTTCACTGCAAATGTCTTGACTTTTTTATAAGGAGGACACATATTTATACAATTAAAGATTAATGTTAAAGCCTTTAACAAAGCCCTGTGGGGCAGGGAGGCGCTAGGATGTTAAGGGTGTGGGTCAGGTTCGGTTCCTCACCACGAGCTGGGGGTTCGCAGCTCCCGTCTCCCGCAGCGTCAGGGCTGCTGCCTGTCAGGTCCCCCGGGGTAAGCCCGTTGCAGTGTGTCCCGCACCACGAGGGTGCTCAATAAATGAATGGTTAGGGAAATATAACCACGGTCAAGCCCACAGGAGCCGCCCTGGGCCAGAGCAGGAGACGGGGACAGGGCTGGAGGGGAGCTTTGATTTCAGGCGCCCGCCCTAGAGGGAGGTGCCACAACCTGAGGTCTCAGCTTCGCCAAGAAACCCCTCGTCCCACCAGGGGTGCCTCCCATCCTGCAGCCCAGACAACAACGTCCTCTCCTCACAAGGATTTGAAAGCCGATGCTTCTCTGCTGTGGATGGAAATCCATCCAGAAGTTTAGTGCATACGCTCAAGGGGCCAGGACAGCGCCTGGTACGGGAGAGGTGCTCACCACCATATGCGGGTCGGGGAGGAAGAGCCTCCGGGCCTGTGTGCTCCTCTGCCTGGAGCACATCCCCACCTCCACCCCCACCCCCGTCCCGCGGAACGCCTATTCCTCATCACCCTGCCTGACCTCTCTCTGTGGCACGTATCACACACATCTGTCTATGTGACTATTCTCCCAGGGGCAGAGGTTCTTAAAGAGGGCCAGTGATGCCCACCCCACACCCTGACCAGAGCGAGTATGAAAAAGTGTGTGTGTCCAAGGAAAAAGGTGTCCTTTCTGACTGTGACAATGACTGAGGGCCCCCAACTGGCACGCAGTGGGTGGAGGCCAGGCGTTCACCATCCCACGCGAAGGGAACCGCCTTTCCAGACAAATGGTCGTCTTCATCCCCACCAGACCACTGGCTATCACTCCTGTATTTCTGGAGCCCAGCACAGGGACTAGCACATAGTAGGTGCTCCCTGAACATTTACTGATTCCTAAAAATAAAAAACTCTGACTTTCAGGGTGCCTCCAATCTCATGGGAGGACAAACATGCAAACAGAATGGTGGACGTACGTACGTAAATCAAGCATCATCTGGGGACCCCACCCCCCGCCTCGTCTTCATCTACACGGTTCCAGTAAAGCGACCCCAACCCCACTGCCAGCTCAAAGGTGCCCAATCAGAATCACGGCACCCAGCTCAAGCAGGGGCCAGAGGGGGAGTACATCACAGGACTCGTCCTTTCTGCTGCACACTGTCCTGGCGCCAGAGGCACCGCCACCTGGGGATGAAGCCACGGCGAGGAGCAGCATGACGCACAGAGACCTGAGGGCTGACAGGTGCGGCCTGCACCCAGGCCTGTCGGAGCATCTCAGCTGGAAGCCAACAACTCCCACCTATTTTGGTTGTTTCAGTCACTGCGTTTGGTTCTGTCCCTTTACCCAACAGCATCCTGACAGACTGACAGGACTACAACATGACCCCCAAGGCCCAGCAGGGTGGCTGGTGCAGATGTTCAGTGAAACCAGCCCACTTCCCATCCAGGCAGAGGGGCACCACCAAGAGCAAAGGGCACAGCCCATGCCAAGTAGCCCAGGGCCTCCCTATTGGCAGCACAAACCACAAAAGAGCCATGTGGGCCAGAGCCAGCACATAGTAGGTCCTCAGTATCAGCAGGGATAATGACGGCCCCCCCCCCCCCAGGATAACTGGGACAGGCAAACAAAGGAGGACAGCCTGGGCACCACCAGGCCCCTACTG